TCTAATCTGGGCCCAGCCCTCGTTAACATCTAATCTGGGCCCAGCCCCCGTTAACGTCTAATCTGGGCCCATCCCTTGTTAACATCTAATCTGGGTCCAGCCTTCTTTAACATCTAATCTCGGCCCATCCCTCGTTAACATCTAATCTGGGCCCAGCCCTCGTTAACATCTAATCTGGGCCCAGCCCTCGTTAACATCTAATCTGGGCCCAGCCCTCGTTAACATCTAATCTGGGCCCAGCCCTCGTCAACATCTAATCTGGGCCCAGCCTTCGTTAACGTGAACCGTTGGTTTTTATTTTGGTCCTCCTTAGAACCAGAATCTGAACCCCTGGTCTAAACTTTACATTAGTTTTATTTATTTAAATATCATAAAATGGATCTACTGGACTCACGGTGCTCAGAGGGACCCACAGTTCCAGGTCCAAACCTTCCAGCTCAGACTGCAGTGTCTCGTGATCCGGACTTTCTTCTGCCTCAGACCCACGGTCAGGTCCAGGAGAGAAACACAGACCTGATCCTCCTGGGGGACTAGGTGTTCCAGGGACGATAAACCCTCCAGAAAGTTCTGGGTCTGGCCCAGGTCTGCTCCCGGTGATACTCTAAAGCGAGGCGTTCAGGGATCCTGAAGTCTGTCTGAAATCTGAAGATTATTTTAATCTTTGAGAGAACTGTTTCTCTCATATTGAAGCAGTTCAGGGTGAACATGGTCGTTTTGAACCTTTGGTGGTTTTGGGGACAGCCTGGACTTGGGAACCCTGCACTTCTCTGGTCTGACCACAGGGGGGCAGGTCGGTCCGGTTCTGATCCTAAACTTTAAGAAACAAACTAGAAAAATCTGCAGAAGTTTAACATATTGTCGTTTTTCCAGGTTTGTGTTTAAAGAAATGTTTGTTCCGGTGTCATGGAACAAACTGAACAGCAGCGGTCCAGGAGGTAGACGGCGCCCTGGAGGGGGACGCAGAGGATGATGATGGTTATAGGTGCACTTCATCTTCACTCCGACCGCTCGTTTTCAGCCCAATTCTTGTCATTTTCAGAGAATTGTTTGTTAAGACACCTAACCAACTTCTGAATCAAGCAAAGTCCACAGAACATCTGCAGGGAAATCATCACAATAAAATTTACAGCATTTTATCTCCCCTGCCTAAAACTTTTGCACAGCACTGATCATGAATTCATGAGATTTTAAATAAAAAATAAAAACTGTTCTGGAAACCTTGAAGCTCGAGGCACCTTTATTCATTATTACACCACCTTTATCTCCATGGAAACCTGAAGATGCTGGGGCGATCCTGTTGCCGTGGCGATGAGCAGCACCACTTGAACCCGTTTAGATCCTCCACCTTTCTTCAGTTATTTTTATTTTATAATTTCAAAGCTGAAGCTCCTCTGATTATCACCCAGACAGAAAATTAATCTGGATTAGATTCAGCAACAAAACAGCAGATTAACAAACTGCTGCCGTCAGCGGAATAATTTTATTTAATTAAAACGTTTGGATCAATAAGACAAGTTCAAATGTATTAAAAACTAATTTATTCTTTAGACACAAACGAGACATTTATGTATTTATTGAAATCAAAACCCAAACTTTGACGTCTGAGAAGTTCTTTAACTCTCGGAGAAAAGTTTTTAATTTGAAGGTTTTTATTCTAAGTGTTTTTATAAATATTATACTCCGTGTCTGTAACTTTGTGTCAGGTGAACCTGAGCTCCACCCACAGGGACGATTCCACGCTCCAGCTGCGCTCCTCAGACCAGGACTGAAAGAACCGGGTCCGGGATCAGCCACAGAGCGATCCATCTGGAGGTCTGGACTCGGACCCAGAACCAAGCAGTAGCTGGACCGTCTCTGAGGAGGGGCAGGTCTGGGTCCCCTTCCTGGATCTGGTTTAGTCACAACTCGTAACAAAATGCCCTGAACCTAAAACCCGACAGGAGACTGAACTCCTGACGGAAACAGAAACGCACTTTATGTTAAAATCGTACAGTTTTTTAGTTTAACATGTTTTTATTTTTCCTGAATTAAAACAAAGATGAACATCTGGAGTCATAAGTTGGTGCCAGCTGTTGTTAAAGGTCTGATTAAAACAGGAAGCATCCCGGGGTTCAGGTGTCGCTGTAAACCTGTTTCGAGCTTCAGACAGGAAGTGTGACATCAGAACAGGAAGTGACTCGGTTCTGTTCAAAGATCCCACTTCCTGTGTTTCAAACCATCTGGACGTTTCAGCTGTTTTACTGAATGTCGTTACATCTTTCTGTCTCTCGGGGGGGGGGGGGGGGGTATTTATCTGACGAGCTGAGGAGGAGGAGGATGAAGGGCTCTTCAGGCGGACGTATCAAACAGCTTCTCGATCATCTCCTCCACTTCCTCCGGTCGATATTTGTGGTACTTCTCGGGGTTCTTGGTGAAGGAGATGTTGGCACACCTGCAGAGACCCGACCAGAGTTGATCAGAACTGAACCGGTGACCCGGGTCCAGCAGCAGGGAGGCTCTCACCTGTGCACGAAGGACCTGTACGCCTCAGAAACCACCTTCTTCTGCGCCTGCCGGATGAAGTCCCGCTGGTCTTTGTCCGGGATGGCCCAGCCCTTCTGGATCTTGCACAGCTCCTCCAGACCGTCGTTGAAGCCCTGAAAGAGAAGAGTCTCCTCTGAGACCTGAGGGTTGAAACCTTCCTGCTTTTATTTTGAAAGGACTCACCTTGAATTTGTCTTTAATCACTTGTCGCTCCTTGTCTCTCAGCTGGAGGAGGAAAAGAGTCGATTGAAACAACAATTCAACAAGAACACGGGACTCTTAAGACAAACTCCAGCTGTTAGCAAAACATCTCAACACAGATCTTTACTGAAACTTTCAGGAACTCACCGGTTGTTCGTCAACAAATCATGAACTTTTGGAGTCAGCCCCATTCAAGATGGCCGCCACAGCTAAAACTCAGCTGATGTTGCAGATATTGAGCTAAAGGCTGGTAGTAGCTGAAGGTCGTCCCATCACCTTCTCTGAGGGAAACTGCTCATTTTTATATTTTCCTCCGAGCAGACAGTTTTTCTGTGTTCCGGTCATTTTGTTTGTTTTCAGTTAATCAACAAAAACTATTTTAAATTTTAAATTAAATCTTTGTAGCGGTTTGACAGCAGGGTTCAGCTCGACGCCTTCGCCTCCCGCACGACTCGTACGACACAACCGTGGCTTCCGGCACAGTTTGAATCAGTGGCAGTTTTAACAAAAGACGTTGTTGTGAAAGTGTTCTGGATCCGGTGACCTCTGTGTGACCTTCGAGGCAGCAGTAACATGGCTGCTGGTCATTGGGAGCAGTTTCAACCTCTCGGTGTCACACAGACGTGCTCAGGTGGACACTCTGGTACCAAAGTGAAGATCGACTACTGACCTTGGCTCCGGGCTGCAGGACGGGCATGTTCCGGTCCGTCAGGTGTTCGGTGACCTTCAGCCAGCTGTGGCAGAGACAAAAACCACCTTCAGCTCCAATAAAAGCACACGGAACCCGTCAGAGTGGGGCAGCTACCTTCGCTGATACGTATCGATCTGCTGCTCGATCAGCTCTCTGTAAAAACTCTCTGCTCGCTTCTGGGTCACCGTGACCAGCTGGATCAGCTCGGACCTGCAGCAGAGAGAAAACACCAACTCTGAGGCTGGAGTTCTACCAAATGATCGTGAAGAGATGAGAGATGCTGACTTCTCCAGGGACTTCAGGGTGTAGTTGTAGTTGTTGTGCAGGAAGATGGCACTCAGAGCTAAATCCTCGTAAACTTTGGACTTACTGAGCAGGTTCAGCTGCAGGTTCCCTAAAACTTTACCTGAAGAAGCCGAGAGAAGAGCCGTCAGTCTGCGGCAGAGCGCGGCTGACAGTGAACAGGTGGGCGGCTCTTACAGATGTAGGTGCTGAGGAGGCGCTTGTTGAAGTCCGACGTGTAGCTGCTCGCCGAGCTCGTCTCTGGAAAACAACCATCAGAGCCGAGCGTCACAGATCAACACGAAGACAGAAGCTCCCAGACAGAAAAGGTTTGGGCCTTCTCTTACCTCGGGGGTCTAAGGGGATATTGTAAGTGTCCCCCAGAACTAACGGAGCGGAGGCGAAGAGAAGAGACAGAAGCACAAGAGCAAAAAGGTTAGAAGAGATTTGTTAGAGCAGAGCAGCTCAGCAGCCGGGAGGAGACTGTTGGGTTAGAAAGCAGCCGGGAGGAGACTGTCGGGTTAGAAAGCAGCCGGGAGGAGACTGTTGGGTTAGAAAGCAGCCGGGAGGAGACTGTTGGGTTAGAAAGCAGCCGGGAGGAGACTGT